ATAATTTAGTAAACTGACATATTTTATGGATATTTCATATTATATTAAAAACTGTACAATGAACCCAAACAGTGAACTCAGTAACTGGAAGAGGTTTGTGTAAAACCAGATACATTTTGAGGAGATTATTTCTTGTTTGGGGAACTTTTTATTTTTAACAATCACAAAAACTTCTCTTTTGACAAATTCAACAATTGACAAGTGTTTTCTGGTCACTGACACTTTCTACCATTGTTCTATAAGATCTTTGATGTAAAAAAGTCTTCTAACCCACTCGTTAAAAGCCCTCAAGACCCCCAGGTTGGGAACCACTCATGTAAAGTACACATTCAGGATGAGAAAAAAAAAGAATTTGAAATTAAGATTTAAATTAATCCAAATCTCTTGTTTTACACAAACTTCCTGCAGTTACTGAGCTCACTGTTTGGGTTTATTGACAGTTTAATATAATATGAAATATCCATAACATATGTCACTAAGTCAGTTTAATAAAAGATAGAAAAGGGCTCCCTTAAGGAAAATGGTTGGGAATCACTGCCTTATCTTACAATGTCACAGCTGCACACTAGATTATTGGAATATCTAACAGGGTAAATATGTGATTCTGAAGTAAAACATCTGTACTGATACTGTAGGTCATCAATCAGGGGAAGCAGCAGGCAGCAAAAGAAACATTTCAAAATTCAGATTTTATGATGAATTAATGCCGAATTTCAGAATTCACATTGAACTCTGTCTTTGGTATTTTGGGGTCCATTCATACAGTATTAAAACCCAATATGTTGAAAAGCTTTATTTGTTGTTTATTGTTATTATTATTAGTATTTAGGATTATTTTTAACATCATGAATAAAAAATTCCTGTCCCTGATGCATACTTCACATTAATAGAATATAATATGAAATGTCCATAAAATATGTCAGTCAGTTTAATAAATGATAAAAAGAGGTCCCTTAAGGAAGAAGGTTGGGAACCACTGCTGTATGTGACAGTCATTTCACAAAAATTTGTTCTTAGAGTGTCATGTGAACAGAGGCTCCACCTCTTTGTGCTATAACCCTGCATGGGTTGTTGGTACTAATGGCATCGAAGTCTTCCGTTCAACCTTCAGCCATGTTGATCATAAATGCATATAGTTGAACAGCCGAAAGCCAGACAAGACCCCTTATTTTGATCAACCTGCGACTTCTGCAGATGAGATTTTGACCAGATTACAGGGCAATAACTGATGTATTAATATGTTTAGATAATAATATAATGAGTTATATATGGTTACACAAAAAAGATTTATTACTTGCACTTTATTTATGTCAACTTGCTCAGATATGGTGGCACTGTACAGAGTGGTGTCCTCGGCATACACTGAAGTACACATATGACGGTACACTGAAGTGATAAATAACTTTATATTATATATTTAACTTTTCTTCATCAGTTCAGTTTATTTATCAGTGATCTTAGTGAAACTGGATCATATTTTCATAGGAAATAAATTTAGCTAGAATAAATGTGTAACATCTGATTAGACTTTCAAAATAAAGCTTAATTTTGTGGCTAATGTTGTGAAACAGTTGCACTTTGGTTAGGTTTAGGCACAAAAACGACTTAAACTTTGGGTTTACTTAAAGAACTTCAACGTGTTATGTAAGTTAATTTACATTACAGTCCGGTGTTTGTTTGAGCCCAAATGTGAACTTTAAGCTCCACTCTTTATGTTTGTGTTCACTGACGTAGTGTTTTTCTATATTTCGTTCCCTTTATATACAGAAAATATGAGCACGGCTACGTAAAACAACAACACTGACGGCTCCTCTTGCCTTGCTCCTTTCCAGATTCAGACCTGCCCTTGTTGACCAATGACAGATCGAGCTCTGGTAATGGCACCTGGGGACCTGAGGGAGTCACTTTCTTCATCATCCAGGGCCTCACTAACCTCGGCAAGACAAACATGATCCTTTTTGTGATCCTGCTGTTGGGTTACATCATCATCCTGGGAGGAAACAGCATGATCATCTTCGTGGTACAAAACAAACTCATCTAGTGAACTTCCTCCTGTCTTGTTCTTAGAAATGCTATATGCTAGGCTAATCTA